CAGAAGTATGTTCAGCCCTTCCCTCCTTCCCCTGGGCACCGTTTTGCTGGTTCAGTTTGTTTTGGCTCTCATCTTCATCTATCGTTCAAGCAGAGATTCCTGATTTTTTTAAGTTTTACCCCTTAATAAATGCCTATCTATTTCTTAATTCTGAACTAGTTTGGGATTTCTTTTTTAAGTGCCCTATCTCTCAACCATCAAAACTACAACTGCAAATAAAATCAACCAGGCCAACAAGAAAACATGGGTCTGGGTGGAAGTAACAGAATGATCTCAATTCAAATGCAAGTTACCTATGCACAAGTGCTCAAGTCGAAGAGTCAGTATCACCACCACAATGAAATAGAGGCTGTAGAGTTGTGGCCTGGGTCTCAGCATCATAGATGCTCACAGCACCAATAACTAGGAGCTCCTATCCCTCTCATCAGGCAAAGAACTCTGCACAAAATGCATACTAATTAGGGAGGAAGGTTGGGAGTTCAGTGGCATCACTAACTACATGGCAAGTTCTTGATTGGCCTCAGGTTCATGAGGCCTTGCCTCAAACAAACAAACTAACATACAAAAACCGTTCAGTAAATGTCTGGAAGGAAGAGCCCTTCTCATTAAAAAACAATTATTAAAGAGTCAAAGAGTTAACATTGGGTTGGACACTGGTACAAAGGCAATGAGTCAAACAGGCCATTCCTACAAGAAACTCAGGCACACAGTTGCAGAGATATGAGAACAGCAAATGACACTTGCCATATGCAGGTCACAGCATCTCCACATAGGATCAGGGAGAAATGTCACCAATCATGGGCACAAAAGGTGTTGTCTTAGAATAAATCTATGGGCAAAGAACTACATATGAGGCAGAAAGAACAAAGTAAAATTTAAGAAACAAAGTAGTGCCAGGCAGTAATAGAGTACACCTTTAATTCCAGCACTCTGGAGGCAGAGGCAAATGGGTCTCTGATTTGGAGGCCAGCCTGGTCTACAAAAGCTAATTCCAGGATAGGCTCCAAAGCTACAAGGAAATCCAGTCTCAAAGACGGGGGGAAAAAGAAAAAAACAACAACAACAAAAACAAAAACAGAGTAGTTTTCCCAGGGAGGTCAATGAGGCAACAAAACCCAAGTGAACACAAAAATGGTATATTTCAGAGGAAGAGAAGGGAAAGCAGAAGCACCATAATCACAGTGAGGGCTCAGAAGTTCATCCAGGAGACAGTGGAGACAGTGGTGAGACACTGTCTGCCACACTCAAGGAATGGGGTGGGAGAGGGGGCACATGTATTCATTCATGCCTTCACTTAGCAGACATTTGAAGACCAACAATGAACATGAAGACCAATTCTTCTCCTGATACCATCACAGGTGCTGGAAGTCAGCAGTAAAGACACGTGATGACAAAAAGGAAAACAGAAAACACAAAAAACAAGGAGCTATGAGTAAGAAGGGGAAGCAGAGTCAGTAATGGATGGTCATGAGCACCGAGGCTGAGATCCAAGGATCTTAGTCAGCTGGACTGAAAAGGCAAAGAGAGGATGGCAGGACCAAAAGTGTCTCTGAGGAAGCAGAACCCACAGATGACACCACAGACCAGGTTCTAAGAGAGCCCAGGGTGGCCATACAGAGATGGGAAGATACCAGGAGACAGTCCAGGAAGATAAGGGTAGAGCGGTGCCCTGGTATCGCTCTGAGTACTCTTGGGGAGGAAAAAAGAAACACAAAGCGTAACAGGAAACAAGGAGCCAAGGTCAGGATGTGACATCTTCTGAGGGAATTAGTGGGAAGGGAAGAGTGACTAGGCCAAAGAAAAAGACAAAACAGGCATGGGTTGGAGATGCTCGCTCACAGGGTAGAGGATTAAATGACAATTAGCAGTGTGAAATAATAAGTTGAATTAAGAACTCAAGGTTTAAATAATCAAAGAAAATGCACCAAGGTACCATCTTCCTCCTGAGCTCCCTTGACCCTCTTCAAAGGGCTCTAGCAATGAAGAACACCATGCCTGGTGACCTAACGTTTAGAACTGGCATTCTTACAGTTATGAGTCAGATCTTGATTCCATAAAGTTTATGTACTGAGCCTGTTTCCATCCTTAGAAGCATGATTGTAATAGCAGCTCCCTTTCCATTTATACCTCTTTCTAATTAGGGAAGACTCTAGTTGCTTCCAATTCAGTATGTCAGATTTCCAATATAATTTGCTTGTATTATGTTGTATGTGTAATTTTAGTATGCCAACCACTGGGCTTCATTTTAAAAATTTTATTTCATGTTAAAGACACTAAAGCTAAGAGAAGGGAAATACCATGCTCCAAGAAGTCAGCTATGCCTGCCTAAGCTGACTTCACAATCTGGAATGCCTGATTCTGCTCACTGCTCTACCTGTCTCATAGTGTCACTACAGGTAATCAACCAACTAATCAGACTACTAAACCTTAGCATCCAGAGTATCAGCAGTTCGGGAGATTCTGGGTTTGCTCTCAGCAGACTCAGTGAAATTAATCAGAGTTGGAAAATGAGAAAGTCCACTGAAAACATGAATCATACTTCCACAAATTCAAGCAGCAATGCTCTGTTAGTTATGGCACCACCTACAACTAAGCCAAAACCTTAAAGCTGTCAATCAGTGGGGTGTAGGGAGCACTGTGATGATTAACAATTGAGAGAGGATCATATCTGCAGCAACATACAGTGTACATCACAAAGAGATGACTTTTGAGTCCTGATGGCAACAAAGCCTCCTCTGCAGTCTACAGATCTCGGAGTCAGGTCATGCAGGTCATCCTAGATGATTACCACTATATCTCAGAACAATAAACTTCTGCTACCACATCTCTCCCAGGGGTATTTCATACTCTCTCTGGACAGCTCATTACAGCCAGGCATAGAGCAATCTTCATTATGAGGGACTCAAGATCTAACTTCTGGCCACACCCCTGGCTTTGGGCCATTGAAACTTTTCTTATTTCATGTCCCAGTGACAGCCTTGACTGTTTGCTGAAGCTGATCTTGTGCATGCTGAGCTTCTTGTGTCTCCAGGGTAAACATCCCAATTCCTTCTACTACTTCTTATGTAACCAACTTAAGCTTACAATGATGTTCACCTATGTCTTGCTAAGCATGCTGACTCATCTCTAGATCATTCTTGTAGTATACAGCCTATAAATAAATGCTACAGGCCAAGTGAGGAAGTGAGGATCCACAGTCTTTGTCATTCTGCCTACACATTTTTGCTACTTTGCTCATGTCACCTTGTACTCCACAATGCAGTTTGTGACTAAGAGACTTGAGTTTATTCTTACATACTATGCTGATAGGTATAGCACTCACATTCCAATCTGGGTATGTTGTCCTAAATATTGCCTTTATTCTCACATTTCTCATAATTTTCTCAACAGTGGTAAGATCATTACATTGATGACTCCAGGCATTCCTTTAACTATGTGGTTGAACCAGGTATTTTGATGCTTCATACCAAATCATAAACACAGCTACAAGCTCCCAACAAACTAGATCTCCTCATTGTTATTAGGGAATGTTTTTCTTACCAGCTTGCACCCATTAAAAATATAAGTATTACAGGGATCAAGGGTAACAACTATAAAGTGCCAAATTACTCCCTAGCCTCTGACTACAGTGACTGTGTCTTATGTTACGATTTCCAGACAAGTAACCACACATAATCCATTCAGAGGCAATGCTCTAGAATTAGGAAGAGAGGAATAAGATGCAAGCTGCAAATACCTTCCATGTACGAAACACTATCTAGAGAGACACCAGTGCAGAAAAGCCAACCAAGGAAATGGAGGAAGATCTAAGAACACAAACATCATCTGAGCAATCTGACTCAACCCTTCCTTCAGCCTAGACTGGCTTTAACTCTCTTGTATTAACCATTTGTATTACTTACCTTTCTTGTTGCTGTGGCAACTTGACAAAAACAACCTAAGGAATGAAGAGCTTAACTTGGGTCAGTTTACTAGATTCATTACAGCAGGAAAGTCATGGTGGCAGGAGTTTAAGGCAGCTTGCTTTCTCCTTTTCATTCATTCCAGGATCCCAGGTCTTAGAATGGTGCCACCCACATTAAGGGTGAGTCTCCCAAACAAAATTAAACCTGTGTAGGAACTCCCTTACAGACCAGAGGATTGTGGAGAAGCTTCTCCCTTAGGTGATTCTTGAACTCATCAAGTTCGTAAGAATTCAACCATTTCATTAATAAATACCCCCCAAATCTGTTCAGATTAATTTGTACCACTGAACAAGAATCACAATTCTATAGCAGTGTTTCCCCAGTGTTAGACCTCGCAAGCCACAGTACCAACTTGGTAAGCAAGGGATACAAGAACACAACTGAATGGCAGTTAAAGCCTAGCCTCATGAGTAGAAAAGGTACTGAGAAAAAATGACTATTGAGTGGACAGCATTACATAGAACACACATATCACCCCACTACCACCCACCACCCACACAGCACTGCACAGGGAACGTCATGGGGGAGGGATTGCATAGAATATAACAACTAATGAATAAAGAGAATGGCCATGACACTCATGAATTCATAACAGCTATAACTGCTTATAGAGAGTCCACACAAGACTGACTCAGTAAATTCATTCATAGATGAGGGAGGGGTTCATGGGGAATTACAGACTGCCATTAATGGCAGATGAAAGCTACTAAAGAAGTAAAAAATTCATTGTTGGCACTGATGCTCCCTGTGTTTACACAGGGACCATGTGATCAAACAGGCTTTGGACATCTGTCTTCCCACTTCCTGCCACTGCAGAAACTTATATTTTAGTTTTAGTCTAGTTTTTTCTTTAACTCCTTGCCTTACTGATTTGCTCCAACTACCTGTGGGATTCCAGATGTCATTTCTCAAGACAGGCAATATTAACCTAATATTTTACCCAAGGAACACTAGGGCTTCCAGGACCTTTCTAGGCCTCTAACTGACTGTCTCTCCCCTGCACCACCTTCCCTTTCACTTGGCTTTTGTTCTTACCTTCAAAGCTCCCAGCAAATAAGTAAATCCAGGTGATGGCTGGGATGCAGAGCAGAGTCAAAGAGGCAGCCAAAAATTTCCGTCTCCCTCTGAAAATTCCCAGCATCCTCTCAGAAGTGGCAATTTCTAATTTCAGCACCTTGTCTCAGTCCAAAGCATGAAGTCCTCAGTATCCCTCATAATACTTTCTGGAAGGAAAAATAGAAGAGGAAGAACTGAATCCCATCATGATGAGCAGACCAGGCAAAAATGAAAGAAAAAAAATATCCCATAAATCCTAAAAATAGATTCCCAGGGCCATGGCTTCCTGCTCACCTTTCTATCTCAAGAGATGATAAATGATGCTATAGTCTTGCCTGTCAAAACAGAGACACTTAAATAAATGATGAGGTCTCTGCCTCCCTCCCCCCTTCTCTCTCTCTCACATGCATTAAGATAGTATATATTATAAACAAAATACTAAACAGATATGCTATCAAAACTAGGACATAAGCTGATATCAAAGAATAAAGTGTCCTGAGTGACCAACTAAAGAACATGATCCCCAAGAAATTTATATGGACCATTGATTAAAGAAAGAAAAAAGTGTTAGTTTAGCCATGTATGGTCAACATGGCACACAGCTCTTGTGTTCCTAATAGAAAACATCCTGATAGGCAGCTGAAGCAGAATGAAGAACACACTTAAAGAACAAGAGCTTGGTTAGGTCACAACATAGCCTATTGAAACAGGACTGTGGTCAGAGTTGAGCAGCTAAAAATATCTCAATTGTGAATTGTCGGCATAGCCCCCTACTCTGGTAGATCCAGAAAAAATAGAAACCATGAGAATGAACAAGAGTTAACCAGCTTGGACAATTACAATAAATAATCTTTAAACCAAAACAAAATGGCAGTAATGAGTTCAAAGAAGAGAAATAAGGTTGTTGGGCAGTGTTGGTGCAGGCCTTTAATCCCAACCTTTAATAACGAGGCAGAGGCAGGTGGATCTCTGTGAGTTCGAGGCCAGCCTGGTCTACAAGAGCTAGTTCCAGGACAGGCATCAAAGCTACAAAGAAACCCGGTCTCGAAAAAAACAAAAAATAAAACAGAGATAGCGTAGAGAGCTCATGATACTCATCTCAACATTTACACACACACACACACACACAGAGAGAGAGAGAGAGAGAGAGAGAGAGACTCTCTTCCTGCTGACTGCTGATCCAGATGTAGAACTCTCAGCTACCACTCTAGCAACTTGACTGCCTGTGTGCAGTCACGCTTCTCACAATGATAATGACTAAACCTGTAAACTGTAAACCAGCTCTAATTAAATACTTTGGAAGAGTTGCTGTGCTCATGGCACCCCTTCACAGCAATAAGACACTGACTAAGACAGACATTGGTACCAGGGTTGGGAGTATTGCTGTGATAGGCCTGACCATGGTTTTTTTTTTTTTTTTTAGAGGAATGTGGACATTGGAACTGGACTAGGAAAACTTTTAAGCTGGCCTTAATGGGTCATACTAATGGAAGATAGTGCTGCTGAGGGTGATTTGAACTGTGGGAGTTCAAGGGGTTTCTGAGAAGGAGAGTATTAGTATTAGTTCGTGGCCTAGAGACCATTCCTGTAACATTCTGGCAAAGAATGTGACTGCTTTATATTCTTGTCCAACAAAACTGTGCCTGAGGTTAAATTGAAAGTTTGGGATTAATAGCTCTGGCAGAGAAGATTTCAAAACCACCTGGTATTGGCTGTTTTGTGGCTATTAGTGGCCAGGTTTATGCTAATCTATAATGAAAATAAGCAAGTGGAGAAAGGAAAAATAGAAAATGCACAGTTTGATAAAGAAACACTAGAAAAGAAGTGTGTTTTTTTTTTTTAAAAAAAAAGCCTGATGCTAAATGGAATAAAGGGAGTGGTGACCTCAGGGTAAGATCCAACTTAGCTAAACTTCCAACTTGTGAAAGGGAATTAAAATTTATGGCTATGAGTGGTGGCACACGGCAAACAGATCTCTGAATTAGATGCCGGTCTTGTCTACAAAGAGTTCCTGGAGCTTAGACAATTAAGGAAACCATTAAAATCAGAAAATGGTGAAAATATATTTGAACAAGGGGGCCATGTTCCAGCCCAAGCAAGCAGCAGAGTTAGGCAGCTTCAGTTACATGGTTCAGGATTTGGAGTCAAGATTACAAGAAAGGGGTTATGGAATCTCCCTCTGCAACTAAGGAGAGCCATTTAGGCCAGGCATATGTCAGGGTTGTCCCTTCATTGAGGCCTAGAGAAGCCACTGACTGAAAGTGAAGCCTAAATTGCCTTGGAGAGCTCTGCAATGCTTTGTCCTGTCCCTTTGGAAGATAAGCCCAGCCCATTCCCTCGCCCTCCCCCAAGGCAAGTTGATCTTCTGCTTCCAGCCTGAGTCCTCTTCCTTTTCCATCTCTCTCTCAAAGAGGTAGCTGCTGCTATAGCTCATCTCTCCCCTCTCCGCCCATCTTCCCCCTTCTCTCTCTCTCTCTCTCTCTCTCTCTGTCTCTCTCTCTCTCTGTCTCTCTCTCTCTCCCTCTCCTCTTCTCCATTCTCCCTTTCCCCTCTATAACCCAGTAAATAAATGCCCACTTTCTCTGCATGGCATGCCTATCTGCCTCGTCTCTTACCCACCATGGGGCTCCCTGCCTGGGATCCGGCTGCCCCCATGGCCCACCATGGTATCATGGCCTGCTGCTGCCACTAGGGGATTGTAGCATTTCTGCTGCAGCTCCCTCAGGGACCTGCAGCATTTTATTTTTACCATTACAACCCCAAGATGGTGAAGATGCCAGAGTTGTTGGATACCTGCCAAGGAGAATTTCCATGTGTGGAGCCAGCCCAGGGGAGAGAAGTGTGTTGTAGTCAACAAGGTTGAAAGGAGCTGGAGATGAGAAAAGGATTTTGAATTTAGTCATAGACACAGTTTAGAATTTGCCACCTGGTTTTCAGTCTTGCTTTTGTCCAATATTTCCTCACTATGTTCCCTTTCCTCCTTTTTTGGAGTTGGAATGTATATCTTGTGCCACTGTACATTGAAAGTATGTGAACAGCTTTTTCATTTGGATTTTACAGGGCTTACAGTTAAGAGATTGTCATGAGTCTCATGAAACTTTAAACTCTGGAGTTTTAAACAGTGTTGAGGCTGTGATAGACTGATAGATGGGAACTTTTGAAGTTGGACTTAATGTTTTCTTGCATTATATGACTATAAGTTTATGGTGAGAGCAGTGAGTAGAATGTGGTGGTTTGACTGAAAATGGTCCCCACAGACTCATAGGAAATGGCACTATTAGGAGGTGTGGCCTTGTTGGTGTAGGTGAAGCATTGTTGGAGGAAGAAGGCCACTGGAAATGGGTTTTGAGGTCTCAAATGCTCAAAATAGGCCTACTAGCTCTCACTCTTCCTGCTGTCTGTGGTTCCAGGTATAGAACTCTCAGTTACCTCTACAGCACCATGTCTGTCTGTATGCTTCCAAGCTTCCCGCCATGACAATAATGGACTAAAGCAGCCCTGATGGAATGTTTTCCTTTATGAGAGCTGCTGTGGTCATGGTGTTTCTTCCTAGCAAAAAAAAAAAAAAAAAACCCTAAGGCACATGCATTAACACATTAATTGAAAAATTAGACCATAAAATATCATCTAGAGTTACCTGGCATAAATGTCAGCTACAGATGGAAAAGTTAATCCAGGTAAAAGAATCACCCACACTAGTCAGTTATAAAAGGGTTCAGATTCTCAAAGACCAGCTGTCCATGAAATGGACAGTCTCTGGGTGTCCCATGGTACATTCCCATGCAGCCTGTCTGTCACAGCCTTCATATTCTGTGATGGAGGTCTATTTAAACCTGTTTTACCACCAGCTGTGGAGTCTCTATAATCCAAGTTCAGATTTCCCCATCCCAATATGTCCTCCTGGCATTCCCTTCTTTATAATTCTGTAGGATATTTATAGAAACCTAAAATTGTCTATTAAAGAAAAAAACTGACTCAGAGTCTAACTGAGACAATTGGTAAGACTTCAGGCCTGTTTCCAGTGATCACCACCCAAAGGAGCCCATCAACTTGTATGTACGATCATTCCAGAAATTTTCTAAAGGGACTACTTGAAAAAGATAGAAGACCACAGGGCTGGAGGGTATTGTTGAAACAATACTGAAAAGCACAATACTTTTGAACAATGAATGTTGATTTGATAAAGGGCTCCCCTGAGGTTTGATCATGGTGAAACCTGGGAGACAGATGCTGAACATAAACTCTACTGGCCACGGGAATGAGAACCACTAAAACACAAGCATCTCTAAGGAGACGGAAAGTTGATGGGGAGGTTATGCTATCAGGCAAATATGGATTCAGATCTATACGATACATTCAACTTTATCCCTCTATAAACTAATACAATTATTGTAGATTTAGACATGAGTAAGTGTTAGGAAGACTTGGCACAAACTCAACTGACATTGACATTTAAAGTAACACCATTTTCCTCCTTTCTTCTCACCATCTAGCAAAGGTAATGTCAATATGCATGCTTTGTGCAATGGCAGGCCTTTAAGCTCTGCTAGTAGAAAATCCCTTAATGAATTTCACGTTTAAATGGTACATTAATGTACAAAAGAACATATTTTAAAAGAAAAAATTTCAATTTTTATTAGGAGATACTATAGGAAGTCAACACAAGTAAAACAGAAGACCCAGAAAATGGTCTGGAAAAATACTTCCCACAGTGTATACATTAACTAGAAAATCCACCCCCAACCGATTTCCCCTCTACTGCTGACTGGTGAAGAGAAATCTTCCATCTGTTCCCCTAGAACTGCAAGTCATCATTAAAAGTTCCAACCTCAACTCCCAACATCCAATTCATTGGCCAAGATGGTCAGTTACTCCTCTATAATCTACCCCATGGTAGATCAAAACTCTTACTCAATAAGATTTATATTTACATGAAGATTGAGAAGAAAATAATTATCATCGTATTTACATCACAAAACTGGTTTTAAATTTCAAGGATAACACAATCATGAGTATATTTCCAAAGGAATAAACTTGATACAGTAAGGCAAATATCTATCTAACCAAGCAGCATCTGAAGTACAAGAATATATTCTATGAGTATAATAAAACATATAATAAAAATATCCATAATAAATATGATGAAACATATATGTTTTATACACAT